TACTACCAGATTAACCTCAAAAAAGTTGTGCCAGTTTCCAGTCCGATGGCATTCAATGAGTGTGTCAGTTTCCTATAGGCTGACCAACACTAGAATCTGCATATATGTATGTATATATGTTTGTAAGGCTGAATTTTTTGGGTTTTGGCACATTTTTATAATGGCCTAATCTTTTCCCCCCAGTTATTAGTAGTTTTTATTTATCATTTTGTCATTAGTAAATGAAGGTGCTCTTCACCCCAACATATATACCTAATTCACATTTTTTTCCAATCTAATATTTATTTTTTTGTTTTTAGCTTGAAGGAGAAATCTATTTTTTTCAAAGAATTAATATATTATCACAGAACCATTTATTAAATTTATTCTTTCACCAAGGATTTCAAATACCATGTATCTAAATTATTGGGGGCTGGATGTGGTGGGTCACGCCTGTAATCCCAGCACTTTGGGAGGCTGAGGCAGGCAGATCACTTGAGGCCAGGAGTTTGAGACCAGCCTGGCCAACACAGTGCAACTCCATCTCTACTAAAATAGAAAAAATGAGCTGGCCGTGGTGGCACATGCCTGTAGTCCCAGCTACTCGGGAGACTGAGGCACAAGAATTGTTGAACCCAGAGGCAGAGGTTAGGCGAGCCAAAATCACACTACTGCACTCCAGCCTGGGCAACAGAGTGAGACTCTGTCTCAATCAATCAGTAAAAATTAGTTCTTGGATATGTATGTCTATTTCTGAGCATTTAATTGTTTTTCATTTTCTTATCTATAAGGTCGTGGAGAATAAGGACTATGTGTGTTTGGTTCATTGCCCCCAGGAGATGACTCACTACCTGTTAGACAATGGGTTGCTGCATATGTTTAACAGATCATCTGTTTCTTCCTGTGTCATTGCTGCATTTTTTAATTACTGTAGCTTTACAATAAGTATATCATATATTGTTTTTATGTATTTTATGTTATTTCTAAATTTTCTTTGGCCAATATTCAAGATCAGCATCAAAAACATTTTGTTAAGTCCAAAAACAGGACTCACTAAGAGTTTGATTAAAATATTAAATGTATGGCCTATTGGAAAGACTCATTATCTTTGCAGCATTATTTTAATAAGAAACATGTTACTGCTCCATTTTATTCAGTATATTTATTGTTTATTTATTTTAGGTTTACTTTCTTAATAGTTGTAATAATTTTTCAAGTAATTCTCTTGAAGTTTCTAGGTTTTCAGTAACATTATCTATAAATAATAATTTTGTCTTCTTTCCAGCATTTATTGCATTAGCTATAATTGCCACTGTTAAGTAACAGTGAAAAGAATAAATGTGACTTTGATTTCTTCTTTTTTTTTTTACAGTGGAAAATAGGCCTTTAAAATGGAAAGCCTGGGAACAGGATTCTCTGCTTAGAGCTAAAATGACAGTGATTCATGATTAAAAAAAAAAAAAAAAAAAGAGGAGGAATAAAGGGAGTGGCTTTGAGGATTGTTTAACAGCCTGAATAGCACCTATCTTTATCATATGAGTGACTTCATTTTAGGTCAGATCTGTACACGGATTATTATAAGACTAAATTAAACTCTAGAACCAGGAGTAACGTCATAAATGGTGGGCACTACCTTTCTCAAGCATCAAATCACAAGTAGTTCTCTGTACAATCAAATTGCATGGTTATAGAGTTTAGAATTTTTATTTTTGTGTAGATTTCTGCCTTATAGAATTAGTGCCTTCCTATTTATCTTTGAATTCAAAGTATGAGGTATTCCTGGATTTCAGAAATTATTGATCCTTTTAGTAAGAGGGAACAGTGACACCTAGATTGAGAATAAAGACAGAACAAAGAACCACAGAACTGCTTCACATGCTAAATAATTGCAGGGTTTAGCATTAATGGAATTTGTTTTAATATCTCAGCCTGATTATAACTCAAGCAGTGTACAAAGATCTTGTTACACAACTTGGGAAACTGTGTTTATAATGATTCAGAATTTAGAATGGATTAATAGTCACAACTGTATTACCAAAAACTGTATCAGTAAATCTTTCTATTCCTAATTGCTGTGCAGATTCGCCCTATTCTTTATACGTCATTTTTATATTTAGTGGCACAGCTCATTTGGTCGATTGAGTTGTGAATAGCTAGTAATTACTTGAGAAAAAAAGAAAACTGTGCACAGCCCTCTAAAGTTGAAAAGAGTATAATAGGCTATTTGGCATTGCAACTTTATTTTCAGTATGATCTACTTTACTTGTGTATTCTAGGCAAATTGCATAAAGCAATTATTTTACACAGGCACATTTTTATTGGTCATTGTATATCATAATTGTGCTGGCACAGTTCATCCCTTTGCCATAGTTGTACTGTTGCTGTCTTGGTTTCAGTTTATTGGCTTCTTAGGTTCCCTGTCTGCTGGCTTTTTGTGGTTACTTGCTTATAAATGGGTTTGTATATGTCAAAACTAGTAAATGGTTACATCTATGATTAAGGAGGAACAGTATACTGAGCACAAAATATTGACCAATTGTGTATGATTTGAATGATATGCCTGGGAGATAGTGTCTTCTAGTGAGATAAATTGATTAAAATGGTTAGTTTATTTGCTGAATTACCAAATATCTACTATTATCTGACTTTTGTTTTTGATCATAAATCTGTTTTTTAAAAAATTTTCAAAACTCCGTTCTTCTAATCAGATCCAGTGTAAAGATGTGAAGAGTTAAAGATCTCAGCATAACATGAGATCTTCAGCACTACTATCAACCAAAGAGAGCAAAGGGGGAAATTAATGTTATTGAGAAAAGACAGAGGAGACACAGAGGTCAGCAAGGATGCAAGAAACCAAAGATGAAGATGTCAAATAATTAGATTTTAAGATGTGAACTGAATAGCAAGAACTACCTCTTAGCACTTCTATATTGGTGACTTTGGTGGTAGACACCCAGACGTGCTATTGAGTGAACAGTGGTGACTGTCTACCAGCCACCTACACTAGCAGACTCCGGTGCCTCATCTCCCTCACCCCTCACATCCTGTAAGTTGCACTTGACTCTAAATCTGAACCATGTCATTAATCCCTCCTCCTTTCCCTTTCCACTGCCACTGCTCTGCTTCAAAGATGATAATGCAAACATGATCACCTTTGCTTCCTAATGATCTTCTGTCTTCTCATTAAAAGTGTAGACACCACACAACCATTAGGATTATTGGTCTAAAACACAGAAGTGATAATGCCATACGCTTGTTTAAAAACTACAAGTCTTCTTACTGTATAGTTAGAAGTCCAAACTTTTTAGCATGCCATTCAAAACTTGTTAAAATCGGATCTCACCCAACTTTTCTCTAACCTACTATACCACTGTAGCCTTCCACATGCTAACCAAACCGTATTACTCGGAGTTCCCTAAAACCTGCTGTAAGTTAGAGCTCATGCCGTCATGTTTTTATATTATTTTTATTTTGTTTTTTTTGAGGCATGGTCTGTTTCACCCAGGTGGTAGTGCAGTGGCACAATCATGGCTCACTGCAGCCTCTAACTCCTGGTCACAAGTGATCCTGCTGCCTCAGCCTCCCAAGTGGCTGGCACTATAGGCATGTGTCACTATGCCTGGCTAATTTTTTTTCACAGAAACAGAGCCTCACTATTTTGTTCAGGCTGGTCTGGAACTTCTGGGCTCAAGCCATCCTCTTGCCTCAGCCTCCCAAGGTGTTGGGATTTACAGGCATGAGTCACCATCCCTGGCTTTCCATGTTCTTATTTAAAATATTTCTTTCTCCTTCTCCTGGAATCAAGTCCTATAAGGTCCAACCAGATTATGCCTTCTCTTTTAGGAGTTTTCCTCATTCTATTTCCTTTAACCTCCAGCAGAATGGACCTTCTGTTTCCATTATGCCTTCTGCATATCTCCTGTTAAACTCCATTTCACCTTGTATTGTAGATTCCGCAATACATTGATTCCTTGTGGATGCTGGTTTGTCCTAATATCCATCGTTTATGTAGCAGAATGCCTGTCACATAAAAGTACTATGCACATCATCTCATTTAATCTTCATAGCCACCAATGAGGTTGGCCTATTTATATATCATCTCCGCTTTAAAAATAAGTAAACTGAGCTGAAAAGGCCTCACAGCTGGTACAAGGCAAAACTTGAACCCTAACCTAGATTCATGTAACTCCTTAAGTCCACACTCTTAACCACTTTGCTCTATTTCTCTCTCCACACCTGTGCATCCTTAGTACCCGCTTTTCAGTGGATACTCTGTAAGTGCCTATTCACTGAATGAATAACTCCAGTTCACGCAGTAATTCAGGACATGCTGGCAGTATGGTTTCCATTGAAAGGGAGAGTGCACCATCCATAAAAATCTTTAAGTCTTCAAACCACATACACAAAACAATTCAATATGTTGTTGATTGGGTCTCAGAAATATTCAACATGGGAAAAGGCTTTAGTGTATAAATATGGCTAGCGTTTGTAACACAGAGCACAGCATAGTATTGCACAACCATAAGACAGTTTGATTTCTAGGAGACTGCTGCCCCCTTACTTCTGTCTTGATTATGAATGTTCTCAGAAAGCAGATAATCTAATTGAACTTCACTGCCATAGCACATTACAGAGCCAGCTATACTACATGTAAACTCTGAGATGGACTACAGTAAATAGAGGAATAGTTAGGATGAGCAAGGTCTGTTGCAAAAAACAAGGGTTTTTTCGGGGTTTTTTTTTTTTTTTTGTAAACTATTAAGCTGAAAAGTGCTTTAAATGCCATGTGTTATTAAATGTGTGTATAAATGAGTACAGAACCACTTGTCTTTTCCTGGGTTATCTTAAGTGTTAGGTTGCAAATCAGAGCATAATATTTAATGCTTAAAGATCTTGCGAGTGAATTTTAGTAATAAATAGTGATTTTAGTTAATCTTTTTTTGTCATCCGATTTTCTTTATTGACTTAGTAAAATGTAGTATAGATTTAATTGTAACTTTTCTTCTCTGTTATTTCTTTAGTGTTGTTAATAACAGTACTGGTAGTGGAAGGGATTGCTGTGGCCCAAAAAACCCAAGGTAAAGTACTGACATTGGTGACTTAACTGCATGTTTAAGACAATGGACTGGCTTATTTGAAAGGATTGCAACTTTGAGTACTATTTCCATAATCCCTCTGGGGTGTTCCAGTGACCTAAGGCTTTCTGTCAGCCCAACAGCCTCAATTTAACTGGGTTCAGCTGCAGTTAACTAGAGTAAATTGTCAGCATAAAGTCCTGCCCTGATAAATTTAAAAAATTGACATCACTAGTAGCTGCTAGCATACTGTGGATTTTATCCAAAAATTAAATGAGATTTATATTTTATCACTAAGCAAAGATAAAAGTCCCTTTTTCTAATTTAAACAAATGAAACACTTCAATTAATGTTTTATTCAAAGCTTGGTCCTGTTCTTTTGTCTTGATTTATGACAGATGATTAGCTAGTGTGATTTTTTGGAACCAGATTTTTATGTCTAAATTTAGTACATTTTCAGTGTAACCTTGTTTGTTTTTTATTTTCATCTAAGTAATACATATGATAAAAATCAAAGCATTCCTAAAAGTTAATTAGGAAAAATCAGTTCCCCATCTTGCCCTATTTAACTTCCTGCTCCATGGAAATAATCACTCCTGGCTGATTCTTTTTGTATTTCTCTTCCTTTCTCTGCATAACATGCTGTATTGCTACTTCTTGGTTATTTCAGTTTTAGACATTAGATACTGATTTTTCACTGTGGAAGGTGAGAATTTAGCTCTTTCACACACCTGTTGTCCACCCTATCCGTATATGAGTGTTGTCGTACCTTTCATTTGTACCACCCTTCTCAGTACAGTTCTGTCATAATTCTGGTTAACTCAGTCAGTATTCAGGATATACATTAAGTTACTCATTTAGTTGACTTTTGTCTTTCTATTTTAATTTTTTAAATTCCCTTTCCTCAATTTTCTCTCTTCTGTCTTTTCAGGAATTCCTATTATTTTACTTGGTATGGCCCTCTTGGTTTTTGTTTCTAGCTCTTCTATTTTCCGTCTCTCTTTGCTCCACATTCTCTGAGACTTCTTCAACTTTACCTCTAAACCAGGAATTAGAACACTTCCTCTGTAAAGGGTCAGATCATAAGTATTTAAGGTGCTGTAAGCCCTACAGTCTCTGGAGCAACTCCTCTAACTCCTTGACTCTTCTGTCCAGGAACAAAAGCATACAAATGATGGGCATGGGTATATTCCAGTAATGCTTTATTTACAGCAGGCTGTAGGTCATGTCTGACTCAGGGTCATAGTTTGCTGAACTCTTCTGTAAATGTTCTGCTAATTTTTTCATTACTTCTATTTTTAGGAGCTTTTTTTGGTTCTGTTTTCTGAGTATAATTTCTGTTTGTAGACTATCTTTGTTCTTGTCTTATGGATTTACTTGCTTTTCTTTCTCAGGATATTAAATGATTGTTTTGTGGTAGTGGTGGTTTTTAAATATTTTTCTTACTTAGTCTTTATCTCCTCAGAATTGCTTTTCTCCTGTTTTTTTTTTTTTATATTAGAGGCTTTCCTCCAATGTCTGGTGATCCTTGAAGGCTCATATTTTAAGAGGGGTACTAAAAACTGATTGTTAGCTGTCTGCAGGTGTGGGCAAAGATTGGTCACTGGCACTCACTGTTGACACACCTGACATTGGGGAGCTCCTTCCTATGTCTGCATCAGGTCTTTCTTAGGGCTGTTTAGATTCCCAGAAAAGAATCTTCTCTTTTCCTGCTTGAAGGTTCAATATCTGACCAGGAGGCCTTTGTGGGGGTTCAGCAGGAAACGAAGGCTGGGACATGTGCTAACATTCACTCATCTCCCTGTTTTTCTTCTCAGCTGTGCCTGTGTCCCCCAGTCCCTGTTGTTTTACCCTCTCCAAAGAAATCACCTCTAGTGTTCTGATGTGGTTGAAGAGCAGCAGCTAAGCTAGATTTGTGGAGTAGGAGAGGGTACTGAAAACCCAACTCATTCTAAACAGACTTTTAACTAGCGTACACACCACCCCCCACCCCACTTTCTGGTACCTCCAATTGTTACTGCTATATCTACCCCACTGTACGTAAGGGTTTATACCCTTTTAAAAATCCTTTTACTGTTGTTTAAGTAGAGTTTCAGGAGGGAGCAGAGCTAAATGCATGTGTTTAGTCTACAATCTTCAACTAAAATCCCTCTGTAACCTTGGAATCTTCTTTCACTCTTGGATAAAACTGAGTATGAGGGTCCCATATCAGAGATCAAATCTTGGGATGCCTTTATTTTTATTTTTTGGTTAGAACTGAATTGTATTGCATCTTACTGACTTAGCAGATTCCCCTCTATGGTTTTGCCCTTTGTTATGTGCATATAAGCCCTTTATTTCCCTTTTCTCTTACATGGCAAACTTGTCCTCTCCCAGCAAGTTTTCCCTCCCTCTCTTTCACTTCCGTACTCAATTTGTTATACTAAATTTGACAGTGGTTCTTATAAAATTTTCTATATGTAGCATAGAGTGAGGAATTGTTTGGGAAGTGGTAGGGGAAAGAGAAGAATGATTATCTTCTCCTGTAATGAGTGTTCTAAATGCCATTTTTCCCCAAGATGGACAAAATATTGGAATCAAGCATATTCCTGCAACCCAGTGTGGCATCTGGGTTCGAACCAGCAATGGAGGTCATTTTGCTTCACCAAATTATCCTGACTCATATCCACCAAACAAGGAGTGTATCTACATTTTGGAAGGTATTGGACTAATTTCTTTTATTGGATGAATTTTTACTTTCTTATAAAACTAAACGTGTTGGTAAAATGACCTATGTAAACCAGTTTGAACAAAATTTAAACATGTATTTGAATTAAACTGTAGTAATGATAAGTATTTCTGCATATTGAATGCATTACAAGATACTAGCAGAAATGTTATGGAAAGTTTGAATCTCCCAAAATATAATTCAACTAGGTACATTAGTATATATGAAAAACTTCTCTGATAAGAAACTTAAACTTACTGGCATCCCTTGTAAGGCTTAATTCAAATTTATGTCCACATAAGTGAGTTCCTTTCATTTCTTCTGTTTATTTTTCTATGTATTGTGGTACATTGTATCTTGAACTAAGTAAGCAGTAGCATCACTCAAGAATATTTAACTTAGTAGATACCATAGCCAAAAGAAAAGATTACTATAGTTCTACAGAGTAGTATTGTTTTTAAGCTACAACATTTATCATGACTTTTATAGCAGTTGTCACTAAGACCTTTGTCTATGAAGCAGTTAGCAGAACAGTTGTTTTGCTTTCCTCATTTGTGTCAATACATTTATATTCCTTCTTGTTTGTGTTGCCCTGATTTGCTTACTCTTATTTTCTAGCTGCTCCACGTCAAAGAATAGAGTTGACCTTTGATGAACATTATTATATAGAGCCATCATTTGAGTGTCGGTTTGATCACTTGGAAGTTCGAGATGGGCCATTTGGTTTCTCTCCTCTTATAGATCGTTACTGTGGTGTGAAAAGCCCTCCATTAATTAGATCAACAGGGAGATTCATGTGGATTAAGTTTAGTTCTGATGAAGAGCTTGAAGGACTGGGATTTCGAGCAAAATACTCATTTATTCCAGGTAAAGAGCAAGTTATCTTTTAAGTGGTTGGGCATCTCTAACTCTGATTTTAGAATCTTAAGGTTAAAAAAGAGATTAGTTTGGTCAAGTTAATCAAATCAAGACTTTAAACAAATTAGCAAAGTCAAAGGGAAATTATTCCATGAACAAATAAGAACTTAATAGAAATTGGACATAGAAACGCATCACTTGGATTGGAAGCGTATCAGAGATGGTGCCACATTTTCTTAGATTTTTTTTTTTTTGTCTTATAGCATATACTCAGGCCAACAACATTAAAAACAATACTTTTTTTAAATGATTCAACAAATTGTCTTGTTTTCAGAATTCCCACAAAAATTATTTTATATGATTTTTCTCATTTAGCTGATTGAATTAACCACCCAACTGAATAAATACTTTAGAATATATGAGCAATAGAAAGAATACTGCTCTGCACTTAGATATCAAAGATCTGGGTTTGAATTCTTTCTCTGCCTCCTAATAGCTATAGGACTGTTAAGCACAGAATTATGCCTGAGATTTGCCATTAGTAAAATGGGAATGCCTGCTGTATTACTTTTCTGATGCTGCCATAACTAATTACCTCAAATTTGGCCACTTAAATCAGCAGAAATTGATTTTCTTTCAGTTGGGGAGACCAGAAGTCCAAAATTGAGCAGGGCCTCATTTCCTCTAGGAACCTGGAGGAGAACCTGGTCTTTGCTCCTAGTTTCCCTCTTCACAGCTCTTTCTACTCTTTTCAAGATCCTTAACCTAATGGCATCTTTTGCCTTGAAATGTACTATTTATTCTTTAAAATCTGTATATATTATATATGTATCTATATGCATGCTACTATTCACAGATTATAGGGATTCCACTATGGGTATATTGGGGGTCTACTATATTATCAGCCTGCCCCACTGTATTACCTGCCCCATACACAGTAGATGAGAGCACTCTGAGAATTATAAAGTCCCGTCCAGTATGACATGTATATACCCCTAATGCAGAAACAGAGATGTGCAAGTTATTGTTGCCGTCCTCACCAAGCTTACACACTAACAAGATGAAAAAATAACAGTAAAACAGCTATATGATCTTTTTGCTTTCATTTATTTTCCATGCAAGAAATTTAATTGGAAAAAACTAAAACATTGAAATGAAAATATTCATAATCCTTCCACCATGTATATAAAATCAGTGTTTTTGGTTGTTATTTGGTGTATATCCCTTCCAATATTTTTTTATATCTGTTTCTTTTGTTTGTTATACAAAATTGGGATTATGGTACACATATAACTTTATTATCTGCTTTTTGCCTGAAACACATAAACAACATTTTGTTCCCTGTCAGTACACATATGGGAAATGTTAAGCTTTGCTTCAGTATTTATCTGCTCTTCTTTTTTTCACTTTTGTTCTGTAATCTCCATAGCCAACCAAGTATTTATCTGCTCAATGCCAAAAGGATATTTACAAAAAGTAAAATTTGTTAATAGGCTTTACTTTTTAGAACAGTTTTAGGTTCACAACAAAATTATACAAGAAGTAGAGCATTACATAATGGTAAAGAGATCAATGCAACAAGAAGAGGTAACTCTCCTAAATATATGCACCCAATACAGGAGCACCCAGGTATATAAAGCAAGTTCTTAATGACCTACGAAGAGACTTAGACTCTCGCACAATAATAGTGGGATACTTTAACACTCCACTGTCAATATTAGATCAATGAGACAGAAAATTAACAAGGATATCCAGGACTTGAACTCACATCTGGACCAAGCGAACCTAATAGACATCTACAGAACTCTCCACCTCAAATCCACAGAATATACATTCTTCTCAGCACTACATAGCACTTATTCTAAAATTGACCACATAATTGGAAGTAAATCACTCCTCAGCAAATGCAAAAGAACAGAAAACAATCAGTCTCTCAGACCACAGTGCAATCAAATTAGAACTCAGGATTAAGAAACTCACTCAAAACCACACAACTACATAGAAACTGAACAACCTGCTCCTGAATGACAACTGGATAAATGATGAAATGAAGGCAGAAATAAAGATGTTCTTCGAAACCAATCACAACGAAGACACAATGTACCAGAATCTCTGGGACACATTTGAAGCAGTGTCTAGAGGGAAATTTATAGCACTAAATGCCCACATGAGCAGTGAGGAAAGATCTAAAATTTACACCCTATCACAACTAAAAGAACTAGAGGAGCAAGATCAAACAAATTGAAAAGCTAGCAGAAGACAACTAAGATCAGAGCTATACTGAAGGAGACAGAGACACAAAAAAAAAAACCCTTCAAAAAAAATCAATGAATCCAGGAGCTGTTTTTTTTTTTAAAAAAAGATCAGCAAAATAGATAGACCGCTAGCCAGACTAATAAAAAAGAAAAGAGGGAAGAATCAAATAGATGCAATAAAAAATGATAAAGGGGATATCATCACCAATTCCACAGAAATACAAACTAGCATCAGAGATTACTACAAACATCCCTATGCACATAAACCAGTAAATCTAGAAGAAATGGATAACTTCCTGGAAACTTACACCCTCCCAAGACTAAATCAGGAAGCAGTTGAATCCCTGAATAGACGAATAACAAAGTCTGAAGTTGAGGCAGCAATTAAAACCCTACCAACCAAAAAAAGTCCAGAACCAGATGGGTTCACAGCCAAATTCTACCAGACATATAAAGAGGAGCTAGTACCATTCCTCTGAAACTATTCCAAACAATACAAAAAGAGGGAATCCTCCCTAACTCATTTTATGAGACCAATGTCATCCTGATACCAAAACCTGGCAGAGACACAACTAAAAAAATTTCAGGCCAGTATCCATGATGAACATTGATGCAAAAATCTTCAATAAAATACTGGCAAACCAAATCCAACAGCACATCAAAAAGCTTATCCTTCACGATTGAGTCAGCTTCATCCCAGGGATGCAAGGCTAGTTCAACATACACAAATCAATAAATGTAATCCATCACATAAACAGAGCCAAAGACAAAACCACATGATTATCTCAATAGATGCAGAGAAGGCCTTTGACAAAATTCAACAGCCCTTTATGCTAAAGACTCTCAATAAACTAGGTATGGATGAAATGTATCTTAAAAGAATAAAGCTATTGATGAAAAACGCATAGCCAATATCATACTGAATGGGCAAAAACTGGAAGCATTCCCTTTGAAAATTGGCACTAGACAAGGTGCCCTCTCTCACCACTCCTATCCAACATAGTATTGGAAGTTCTGGCCAGAGCAATCAGCAAGAAAAGGAAATATAGGGTATTTAGTTAGAAAAAGAGGAAATCAAATTGTCTCTATTTGCAAATAACATGATTATATATTTAGGAGACCCCACTGTCTCAGCCCAAAATCTCCTTATGATAAGCAACTTCAGCAAAGTCTCAGGATACAAAATCAATGTGAAAAAATCACAAGCATTCCTATACACCAATAAAAGACTTAAATAGCTGGGACTAGAGGCATTAGCCACCATGCCCAGCTCTCTTTAACCATTTTTAAGTTGTGTAATTTAGTGGCATTAAGTACATTCACAGTGTTAAGCAACCATCACCAGCATCTATTTAAGCCAAAATTTAGAAGACAAATTGTAATATGATTTAGCAGAAAGGAACTTCTTTCTTTTTTAAGGCCAAATAATATTCTCTTATTGTATACGTGATGTTCTGTTTATCTGTTCAGCTTTGACAGTTGATGTGAGTTTGCAAGTAGCATAAATAAATAATTCACTATGGAATCAAAAGTATAAACGTGATTAAATAACTGTCGATCCTGTAAGTGAGCTTATAAATGACCAGTGATGTAGTTTACATCCATGAAAGCTTCTCTTACTTTGCTGTCAAATGGAGCATTAGATATAACTTAAGACATCAAGGCTTAAAGTAACTATCTCAGTACCAATAACTTTATTCTTTTTTCTGTTACAGATCCAGACTTTACTTACCTAGGAGGTATTTTAAATCCCATTCCAGGTTTAGTATATTACCACTTGTTCCTCTTGGTATTTTTGATCAGTCATATGTTCCTTTGAACACCTTTCATGTATTCCTTCTAGATTGTCAGTTCGAGCTCTCGGGAGCTGATGGAATAGTGCGCTCTAGTCAGGTAGAACAAGAAGAGAAAACGAAACCTGGCCAAGCTGTTGATTGCATCTGGACCATTAAAGCCACTCCAAAAGCTAAGGTATTATTATGTATTAATTCACTTCAGAGAAGAACATGATAAGGCATGATTTGCAAAATGTGTTATTTTGGTTTGTGAAAATATTTATTGACTACATAAACTGATATTGCAACTTTTTAGAAATATATTTTATTTTACTTACTTTATCGGCACCTACTAAGATCCCAGCATTGTTATAGTTAAATAAACTGGAATTTCTGAAATTTTTTAGGAATATTACACATATATTAAGAGTCCCAATTTTTAAAAATTAAGATTCTTCACCGGGTGCAGTGGCTCACGCCTGTAATTCCAGCATTTTGGGAGGCCGAGGCGGGTGGATCACGAGGTCAGGAATTCAAGACAAGCCTGGCCAAGATGGTGAAACCCATCTCTACTAAAACTACAAAAATTAGCTGGGCATGGTGGCAGGTGCCTGTAATCCCAGCTTCTCAGGAGGCTGAAGCAGGAGAATCTCTTGAACCTGGGTGGCAGAGGTTGCAGTGAGCCATGATCATGCCACGGCGCTCCAGCCTGGGTGACAGAGTGAGACTCCATCTCAAAAAGAAAAAAAAAATTAAGACCAGTCAGCTCCTAATTGGTGAGTGTGCATATTGATCAATATGATTATAGACTCATTAACATCTTTATGAGGAGGAAAATAGGCTACAAGAGGTGAAAGTGTGTTCTCAAAGGTTACAGAGTCGGTCGTAGAGATCTAAAAATAAAAACCCAAATGTGTCAAGTCTTCATTCTGTTTTTACCCTGCTGTCCTCTGCTACTCATGGGGCGCTTTTATTGGAAAGAACTGCAGGGAAGGATGTTTTAAAATAACTCTGACAGATTGAGATTGGATACTGACTACTTTTGCATTTAATTTATACTTCTAGGAATATCAACAGAGTTAAAATTATATTTAATGCGTATTATGTAAAAAGTGGGAAAAAAGGAGAGAGTGAAGGTAGGAAAACATATAACTCTCAAGAATTGTGAAAATCAGATTTAAAGATTGGATAATATGATAGATAAGGTAACCTGAAACCCCATCTACTAGAAGACACCTGGAAACTTTGGATAAAATGTGACAAATAATTCTTTAAAAGCATATGTGTAAGCTCCAGGAAGGAGAAAAAGCAGGTAATGCTTGTGGACGGGAAATGGAGAGAACTACAAATTAATAAACCAAAATTGATGTTACAAATGCTCCTGGCTGATTTTCATAGCATGTTACAGCACAGGGGTAGACAGCTGGGAGCTTGCTTTTAATTCCCACACTGAGAAAAGAAGTCTCACATGGGCTTTGTGAGACTCACATGAAGCTGGAGCCCTCAAAGGGAGGTGATTCACATAAAAGCGTAGATTAGAAAAAGTGTTCCACTGGCATATGCTGATGACAAAGAAACTTGTTTTTCTGGGTTTGGTCTCAGGGTGGAGTTGGGGGTGAGGCTGGGGTCCCCCCTAGCTTTGTACTTAGAACCTGCCTTTATTAGGGTTTGAGAAATGAATTTACATTCCCTGCTCAACCCAGGAGTCACTAAGTCCAAAAACTAACAAATCATCCTGGGTGCATAAAACCTTTGAGTCACCTGGCAAAAATAAATCTAAAAATCACCAAGGAAGCTTCAGGGTTGGCATGGATAAAACATTGTTGCAGGTCAGCTCATGGCCCCCAAATTCTAAAACCCCTATGCTCACAGCCCACCGTGGGTATAAATTCACCGATATAACAGACAGGAAGGAGTGCCTTAGATCCCCAAGAACTTGAGTGTTTCACATATCCTACAAGAAGGAAATGAAAAAATGAGAAAGAAAAATGACCATATCCATTTTTAAAATAACCAAATAGGAGGTCTGTAAGTTAAAAGTATGGTTATTAAAAGATAGATCTGAGGAATTACCCAGAGCATAGTGCTGGGAGAGGTGATAGTTTATTAGGATTTTCCAGAACTGACACTCTGTAGTGCATAAACCTGATGCCCGGTGTTCATGCACACATGTGACATGTGCCTCCCTCCAGCCTTGTTACCATGTCAGTACATTGTCTATCTTACATGAAAAGGAAAAAAAAATTCAAGAACTGATGAAAAGAATGACACAGGGTGACTCCCAAGCAGGAAAAAAAAATTTTTAAGTGACACTGACATTGTACCCCACAGACAAGGAGAAAAGTTTTAAAAAACAGAAAATAGTCTACAAAGGGATGCTATTAAGATTGACACCAGAATTATCAATAGCAAAATGGAATCCCAAAGACAATAGAATACTGCCTTCATAGTGTTAAGGTGTTAATTGTCATTTAAGAATGAAGGCAGTGGTGGGGATGTGGGGATGACTAATGGGTACAAAACTATAATTAGATAGGATTAATAATATCTGGTATTTGATAGCACAGCACAGTGACTACAGTCAACAATTTATTGTACAGTTTAAAATAACTAAGTATAATTTGGGTATTTGTAACACACATGATAAATGCTCAAGATGATGGATACCCCATTTATACTGATGTAGTTATTATACACTGTATACCTATATTGTAATATCTCATGTACCCCATAAAGATACTATCATATACCCATAAAAATAAAAAGTAAAAGAATGAGGGCAAAATTAAGGTATTTCTCTGCAAAATAATAAATGAACCAAATGCTACAGTTAATATACAAATGTATCTAACAAGATACACCTGTAATTACAGGAAAATTTAAAAATACAAAACTAGAAAAGAAATAACAGACACATGTCAGAAAAGAGCTGATGTAACTATTAGAAATCAAGAATGTCACTATCTCACAAGATATAATTTAAAATAATTTAAAGATATTAATATAGCCTTAAAATGCACGAAACATAGATTGATGATTGCAAAGGAAAATTGACAAATCCACAACACAGTGAGTAATTTTTTTTTTGTACCTCTTAGTAATTAACAGGTCAAACATACAAAAAATTAACATGGTTCAAAAGATTTAAATAACACAGTATATGCCTAATGGACATGTTATCTTACTGCCAACATCCAGAGAATAGGCATACATAAAACATTTATCAAAACAGATACACGTGCTCAACTAACAAAGTCTGAACATATATGCAGAGCAGCCTGTGACAAAAATGCAATTAAACCAAGAATCAGCAACCAAAGATTATTTTAAAAGTCTGTATGTTTGGAAAGATATACTACTTAGTAATTTGTAAGTCACAGAAGAAATTAGGATGGAAATTTAAATACATTTAAAATGCATTAATGATGAAAATACTACATATAAAAAACTGAGGTACAGTTAAAACAGTACCTTGAGAAAAAAGATTGAAATGTAATAAGATTGAACTCAAGAAGTTAAAAGAAAAACAAATCCAAAGAAAGGGCAACAATCATTAGACAGAAATTAAAAAAAAAAAAAAAGATACAAAAAGAAGAAATCAATGAGGACTGACATTGGCTCTTTGTAAAAGATAACAATAGGCAGACTTCTGCCAAGATTGATCTAGAAAAAAAGACATAAATAGTATTAGAAACGGAGGAGTTATAAATCAACTACAGCGAAGATCTAAAACTGTTGTGAGACAAACCAACTAGAAAGTAGACCTACTAAACAAAATAGGAGAAAAACTGTGTTTATAAATAAATGATGATGGGAAAAAGGAAAAACAGGAGCCTATAGATTAAAAGAGATATAAAAGTCAAGTGAATTTATGGATTTAAACAAACTATAAATGGAGGAAACTGATGACGTTAAGAGACATTTAGAAGTTTGAACACTAGTATTTAATATTAAGTTATTTATTTTTGGGGATTGATAATAGGATAAAGGTTATTTTTTAAGTGGCTTTAGTGACACAGAAATATTTACAGATGCAATGATTTAAAGTCTGAGATTTGTCTCTAATATGTAAGGGGTAGAAGTGAGGAGAGACAGATAAAATAAGATTGGCTAGATTATAATTGTTGAAGTTGGAAGCTGGGTACACAGATATATTTTGTCTGTTTTTGCATACTTGAAATTTTAATAAGTGTTTTAGACTATTATAAGAGAATATTATAAACAATGATTTGTCAATAATTTGTAAAGGGTATAAATGGTAATGTTTGGAGAATATGGAGGGAATCTCTGTTTTTTTTCTCTTAGTCAGAACTCACAACAGGTTGGGAGACTAAAATTCTAAGGAAAACTTGTCTTTCTGGCCAGAAGAACTGGGTAGAAAAGACCATGTTGTCATCTAGAGAATATAAAGGAAGTCTTGTAGAGGAGAGAACTAATTCAGGCTTTCCTTCTGAGGTGCCTGTGTGTGAAACAGATCCAGGGAAACATGGCAGCAGTGTTGGGAACCATGTTACAGTATAAACCACCTCTAAATCTCTGAGTGAGTCATATGCTGGGCAAGCCTACCCAGCACAGCAAAGTCTTTGAACATTGGGACCACCACTCAAACAAAGTGAGACAGAACATGCAGTCTGAACACAACTTAGCTGATTGTCTGCGGAACCAAAACAAATAACAAAAAATTACTTCCTCCAGGGATTTTTAACAGAATCCATAGTCACATAGTATTCAAAATGTCCAGGATTCAGTGAAAAATTAGAAAAGAAACTAGGAAAATCTGGTTAATTTTAAAGGAAAGGCAATCAATAGATCCCAAAAACAGAACCCAGATATTAGAATTATCCAAAATTCTTTTTTAAATTTTTTAAAAATAGAAATGGGATCTCACAATGTTGCCTAGACTGATCTCAAACTCCTGAGCTGAAGTAATCCTCCTGCCTTGGCCTTCCAAAGTGCGAGGATTGCAAGTGTGAGCTACCACACCCAGCCAGAATTATCAAAAATTCTAAAGCAATGATAGAACCATGCTTCATGAGATAGCAGTAAACACTCCTGAATAGTGGGAAAATAGGACTCAGCAGAGAAATTAATTTTTTAAGTGGAAAATTTAGCACTAAAAGAAAAATCTGAATTTTTAACAAATACAATCACTCTACGGGCTCAATAGGAAAATGGAAAAAATAGAAAGTCACTGAA